ACTATGCTACTAGTTTATATAATTATTATACTATTCTTTTTAGCCTTAGAGTGTATTTCCTTATATTTATTAAAAAAATAAAGGTTTACTGTAACATAGTATGTCACATTGTCCTCCCAGCAGCCTCATACAGCTTATGTTCTCCTTGTCCTGATTACATCAAGAGGCGGTGCAGAGTGATTGACCCAGACCATTTAGGTTTGTGTAGCACATTCTATGATGCTTGCATAACCCCAAAATCACCTGGGGACAAATTTCTCAGAACATATCCCCATCATTAGACAATACATGACTATATATAAATACTCATTTAATCCTCTTAATAATTTGATCAGGTAAATACTTATTATTATAATCTTCATTCTGCAGACAGAGAAATACAGTACAAAAGGGTTAGATAAACTTGTCCAGGATTACACAAATTCAGAACAGGATTTACTCTGGCTCCAGAATTCACACCGAACTCTTTTCAATTTAGTACATTAAACAGTTCTGATTTCTCAAGGTCTCCATAAAATATTGTTGATTGAATCAAATATTCACTTGCCAAATACAAAGAAGGCAATTTCCAAAACTGAGGGATAGAAATAAGCAAATGAAGGCTTTACAATTTTAATCTTATAGACTTAAAATAGACTATATTCTTTCTCCTTTTAATACTCTAACTACATTCTGATTTTAGAAGATGCGGTCAAAATAAAAATTAGTTGTATACACTGACCAGGATATGATCCACTCGGTCTCTTTTCTTTCTTCCAAATTTCATCATTTTCTGCCAATCAGTTTTGTGGTTTGGCTCCTTTTTGAGACTAAACAACTTGAGTACTTCAGTTGTTATGAAGTTCTGCAGAAACAAAGGAATGAATGAAACAAGAACAACAAAATTCTTGAGATTTATGTGTTTACAATGCAGTGGACAAATTTGTAGTAAGATTACAATATTTATGACAAAGAATCACAAATTTCTTCCACTTACAGTTCCACTTAGAAACTTAAAGGGAAAAGCATCCTAAATGCTCAGATTTTATTCACTTAAAATAATTTTTGTACCCAGGTATGGAGGCCTGTGGTCCTGGTTACTCAGGAAACTGAGGCAGGAGGATCTCATAAGCCCAGGAGTTTGAGACCAGCCTGGACAACATAGTGAAACTCCATCTCAAGGGAAAAAAAGAGTTTTTGTTTTTATACAACATATAAAATAAAACCCACTGAGAATCCATAAAGAAAAAAATTACTCCACAGTTCCCTTTGCCTAATTAGCTAATTCTCAGCTGATAAAACTACTAAAGAAAGTGTAAAATAAATATCTGAACTAGAAAAATTCTAAAGAAATTTTTTGCAAGCAACGTTTTATTAGAAAAATGCAAGCTTTTATCTGGGATAGTTTATTTTGAAGCACCAAGATCTGAATATGTTACACTAAAAAGATTCTAATAAACACTTCAGTATAAGAAGCATAATTTTACTGTTAACAATACCTTAACTATCCACCTTAGACACTAAAATTAGTGGGCAGCATGCTAAATTGATGCACACAGTCTGCCGATGGCTAGCACATTACCTATCTTTATTTCAATTTGCTTTATTACAGTCAAAGTTGCTTCTGTTAAAAAACAATATTCTCACATTTATGTAGAAAATACCAATCAAAAATAAATAAAGGCATGAAAGGAAGATAAATAGAGGAGAGGAGACAGAATAAGGGTAGAGAGGAGGAAAGGAAAAGGGAGGCAAAATGGGGATTGAAATCAAATTCCTTGCATATATTATTTTATCAAAATGAACCAAAATAAATGTATAATTAACATGCTCTAAACAAATTAAAAAATAAAACAGCAGCAAAAATCCACAATATTCTCAATTGGGGAAAGGACACTTTATGAATCAGAATTATCTGAGAAGATTCTTGATCTACCTATTGTGTCCCCAAACCCCATCTTTCTCTGCCTACACACAGACACATTCACAGTACACTAAAGAATTTATCCACTGTGGAAGGGTGGAAGAAATGGAGCATGGAAGTGTGTTTTTTTTTTTTTAATTTTTTTTTTTTAGTTTTTGGGGGACACAACATCTTTGTTTGTATGTGGTGCTGAGGATCGAACCTGGGCCACACGCATGCCAGGCAAGCGCATTACTGCTTGAGCCACATCCCCAGCCCTGGAAGTGTGTTTTGAAAAAAACTACTTACTTTAATCTAAGTCAAGGGCTGGCAAATTTTTTTCTATAAAGGAGTGGATGAATGGAAATAGTTCAGGTTTTTGTGGAGCATGTGTTTTTTTTTTTTAAACGTTATTGTGTTTTTGAATACTTTTTTTTTTTTAAATTTATTTATCTGTGGTACTCAGGATCAAACCCAGTGTCTTACACATGCTAGGCAAACGCTCTACCATTGAGCTACAACTGCAGCCTCCCATATGGTCTTTGTTACAACTACTCAACTCCCCCAGTGTGCCAATAAAGCAACCCCAGATAATATGTAAATAAATGGGCATGGCTGTGGTCCAACAAATATTTACAAAAAGACAGTGAGCTTGGATTTAGCCCAAGGGTCATAGTTTGCCAACTCATGAGGTAAACATACATCTCATAAATATCTATTGGTGTTCTGTCAGTATGTAGTATTTTTAAAAGGCTTTCTATTTCTATGATCAAACAAGCCTGGGAAACACAACTCTAAATTCTTGCTACTTGGGCAGCAGTAGGGCTATGCAGTGGTAAGGCTCTTGCCCAGCATGCTGAGGCCCTGGGTTCCAACCCCTGCACTGCAGGATGTAGAGGGGCTGGTGTTTGTTACTTCAGAATGGTACTAGAACCAATAGCAGTATCACTTGGGAGCTCAGTTAAAAAGAATTTCAGCTCCTAACCTGGACCTATTTATTGAATAAGAATGTCCATTTTCACAAGATCCCCAGATGATGCGATGCTTGTTACAGTGGGAGAAGCACTGCTCTGGAAATGAAACCTTTGCTGAATTAAGGAAATATGAATAGACAGAGTGAATGCCACCATGTGACTACAAAATTTTTAAGTCCTTATAGCTTTTGAACACTCGATTTTTTCAAAGGTTTCTAAAGTAACAAAATTTCTAAATATCATGTTACGATCCTTGGATCCTTCCTATTTCAAATCCACATTACCAACTAGAAATCTCTAAAAATCAAAGATGGAAAAGTAACAAGTATCCAGGGCTGGCATGTTTTCATATATATTTTTAGAACCTTATGCCTATCACTAAATTTCCAAAATATTCACCTAAAAAACACATGAGTTGCAATAATTTATCTTCCTAGGTATTTCTTAATTTTTCCTTAAATATCATATATTGTGTGCATGTACATATATATATATATAATAAAAATGACCACCAAGTTTACAAAAGTTTGGCTCCAGAATTCACAATGAACTCTTTTTAACTTACTATATTAAATAGTTTTGATTAGGGTTGATTAGATATAGGGTTCTTTTTGGGCCCGTTGTTTACAGAATCAATGAATCAACAAATATTTACTGAATATTTACTGAGAACATAAAGGTGAATAGTGTACAACAGTGCCTATTTTTATAGCATTTATAGAGTCTGTGTAAATGAAATCAAATAGAAAAGGAGGTATTTTATAATTTGCAGTTTACCTTGATTTCCTTCAGGTTATTTGGATTTTTCACTCGTCGGAAATAACTAGAGTTGATTCTACATGGCTTCATCCACACAGGTTGATTCAAGTTGGGATCCTCAGCAAATATTTCCTCAAAAATTTCTTTTGTTAAATCAAAAACCGCCTTGATAGAGAAAGATTAAACAAAATGACTAAGAATCCGCATTATAGTGGGTGAGAAGTTTAAAAGTTAAAGTCATCTTTCCATGTTACATACCTGTTTATAGACCCTTTTACTAGTGCTTTCTAGATCCAGTCCCTTATTGGCACAGCCAAGCAGTTTTGCAGGAATACTAATGCTGTGAAGGTCATGGCCTAATTCTTTCCATTTCCAAAGTTCTTCTGCTGCATCATGTACAAGAATTTCTACTTCCTCTGCAGTATGTGGGACTGCCAATAATATTTCACATGGCTTCTGGGGTGGCCTTTTAGGTTCTGCCATTAAAGGTACAATTGTTTCTTCTGTCTTATTTTTTTGGATCTTATGAGAAGAGCTCAATCCAAAATCTTCATCAAACCAGTCTTGATCATCCCCTAAAGCACTCAGGAACTCCCGACTGATCTCAAGTTCAGCAAGTCTCTTAGCGAGCTCTTCCTGCCCACTGGCACCAAACACTGGGCTCTCCTGTAGATATAGAATCATTCAAATAGGGGACTATTTAGTGATTCTGATTTCTTAATAAGTTTTTAAGATAAAGTATATCTTTAATATTTCTCTATAAGCAAAATTAAACAATATGGTAGCTACTAGTTAACAAGAAAGACTTACCGTTCCTACTAATATGCTTACATAGACTCATCATCCAATTTATAATAAAACGTTTGTCGATTCATTTTTTTGTTTTGTTTTGTTTTTTGGGATATCATGATTCCATTTCTGAAGGACTATCTCTGGGATAGGGAAATGGAATATAAAAACTTCTCACCTTTGGTGATTATCTGGCTCAAGTTACTCAAAATCATTACTTTTGCTCAACTGTCTATGGGTAACCTAAACAAATTGATGGTCTGGGTATATGTCATAGTGGATATATTTCAGTTTTAACAGAATCAGCATCACAACTGGTAATCTCTGCAGGGCAACCATGACTGAGTAGTCATGTAAACAATTTCATAGGTGGAAAAAAAACATTGCACTGACAAGAACCATTAGAAAGTTCCATAGGATAAATATTTTCAGTGAACTCAGAAGGGATCTAATTGTGGACAATATGCAGGGGCTGTCAACCTAGCCATTTGAATGGATGTTTTGTTCCCATGAACTTGGCAGGGCCTGTGACAACCCTATAGTGACTACTCATGACATAACAGAGGACAATTATACTTCAAACAGAAAAATAGCTACATGGCCTTTAAAAAGTAGCATATCATCTTTATCTAATGGACAGCATATCAGAACAAAACCTATCTGGAGTCAAAGAATTAAGATGTACCACACAGGCAAGGTAAATTGACATTTTTCTAGATGAAATACTTACAGGTCTGGGACACATATCTGGGGAGGAGATCTCTTCTTTCTCATCTTCTAATTCAGACCTTAAGAAGCAATTTGAAACACTGGGTGACTCTTCCTCAAGATTGTGGGACGGGTCCTGGGATGATACTTTCTTTTGGTCACCATCAAGAAACCCCTGATTACTCAGCTGAATTTTCTCATTTCTGGCTTTCTTGATTTGTTGTAGCTGACTGACCGTGTCCTTCACAAAGTCTTTCAGTAAACTGTCTGTCAGTAAGCTGACTGTTTCTAGTTGTTGCTTTGACTTCTTTTCCTCACTCAGTGATGATTTCAGCTGGGCTTCTAATTGGTTTTTTTCTTTTGTTAGAAGGTCTAGAAGTGGAGTAGAAAGCTTCTCTGAAACTTCGGAATATAGGTTCTCTTCCTTTTCTGCAAACTGCTGTTGTTTATTCAATTCTTCAGAAAAGGTATTATCTAAAGTATCATCTTCTGCAGTGATGGAAACCTTTCCTGTGGCATCAGAAACAAGGTCTTTGTTTTCCTTTGAAGAAATCAGTGAATCTGCTGAAGTTTGCTGATGAACATGGGCTTCAAGTACCCCAGAAATGTCCTGTGTGTGGTCTGTTTCTACTTTAAGACTTCTCTCTCTGTTCACTGAGGCTTCTATATTGTGCATACTAGGTAGAGATTTCTCATAAAAACATCCAATTCCATCTTTTTCTATATCTTTTGAACTCTTTGTGTCTTTTTGTTCTTGACTATAGTTTTGATATTGTTCATCTGAATAAGAGTCTTCATCTTCATTTATGTCTATATAGTCATCAAAGTTTTCTAGAATGTGAGATATTTTTTGAGGAGGAGCAAAAATACCATGTTTCTCTTTGCATACAAAATATACAATGCCATCATATGTTCCATTGTTATTTCCTTCAGGTTTATCCAACTCCACTCCAGCCCAAAATCCTTTAGCAAAACTAGTTTCACCTTTGAATCGAAGAGTTCCTGGTTGAACATTGCCAATCAACACCCTATCACCAATGTGGAAATCAAGTAACTCATCTGCAACAGAAACTGAAGCCAAGGAAGGGGCTTCAGTAACCTCCTGTTCATGTTTCACATCACTGCGTTCCTGACTTTTCATTAGCTCGGTAGGGGACTTAAGTTCTAACAGTCTTTCAGAATGAACATTGCTATGAATGGAAAGGCTTTTCCCACTTAGGCACTCACTGATTTCATCATCACTACCAAAGCCACTAGCTCTACTTTTAGAGCTCCTTGTTGGCTGTGACTTATCTCTGCAAGACTGAGAGTCTTTCCTGAGTGACAACAAAGATGACATTTCAGAGTCACCTTTGTACAATTCAGCTGAAATTTCTTTCTTGAAAGAAGACACTTCAAAATCTTCAGAGTATGACGAGTCTTTTAGAGCAAAATGATGTTCTGACAAGGACAAGTTCTTTTCCTCTTTGTTCTTTTGCTCATGAATGTCTTCTCCTGACTGAATGTCTGCAATGTGATCCATATCTTGATCTGAGTTTCTCTCTTTTAACATTTCCTCTTTTTTATGAAGATTTTCAATGGATAATCTAACTATATCTTTCTGAACATTTGCAGAATCTAAAGGAAAATCTTTCTTTGAAACAGTTTCAGATGAGTCTTCCTGTTTCAGTTCTAGTTTCAGCAGGACATCAGATTTTCCAGACAGTTTTGAAGAAGCACCTTCAATCTCACTCTCCTCCAATTTTGCATATTCTACTTCTTTTATTTCTGATTTTTGATTAGATTCTTCAACCTTGGCACCCAACACATCAAGAATTGTATTAGAGGCATTTAATTCCTTAAGCAGAGGTAATGAAAGTATATTTTCTAAAGAATCTCCAGATTCTGCCCTGGTTTTCCTTGATGATCTGAGAATTAGAGATGGGGTCTGAAAATGTTCTTCAGTTCGATTATCCAATTCAATCATTCTCTTTGCATATGCAGATAAAGACTTTTCTGATACTGATCTCTCAGAACCTGACAATGAAGCATCTTAAAGACAAAAAAAATCACCATATCAAAATTATTTAATCACAATCTATTGATTTCTAAGATCAAACTAAATAAATGCCAAATCTTGGTGAAGAAAAACTCTGGTCAATAAGTATGACCTGTTTTGTTTACCATATACAAGAACATACTATTACATACCATTATAAGAAAAACTATGAATATAATATATAAAACATTTAAAAATGTTTTAAAGTTTGGAATAATTTCTTCAGTGTTGTATTATAAAGTGAATAAAATGGAGCTAAGTTTACGACGCAGCCATTGCTTTGTACAATCATTCTCAAATCATGGAAAAACAAGATTGTACGATGGATATTAAACACACTCTTTGAATAGAAAAATAAGGAGGAAGATACAAATGTATTTACTAAAAGAATAAATTTCCCTGGAGACCAATTAAGCTCTTGAATTAAATTAAAAAATAAAAAGAAAGAATATTTCTGCAAATATAGCACTAAAGAGCCAAATTTGCAAAGTACTAGCAAGTAGGACAATTAAGATCAAGAAAACAAAACAAAACAAAACAAAACACAACAAAAACCAAAGGCTAAGGTAGGAGGATCACTTGAGCCCAGGAGTTCAAGACCAGACTGAGCAACATAGCAAGTTCTTTTAATAAATAAATAAGCAAAAATTTAAGATGCTATAAAATTTATTTAAGAAATTCACTTTTCAATGAAAAAGTTGTACGGGTAGAATTTCACAAGACTTTGCACAAATCCTTAGACTATGTAGACACAACTTATTTTTTCTAGTCACATACCAACATGTTCAGCAATGGATTCCAAGGATCCTCTGGAACGTTCTGGTTCTGTTAGTGATTTCCAGTTTTTTGCTGTTTCAGATCTGAAGTGGAAAAATTAATGAGCAGAAATAAACATACTGCTGATACTGTAATAAATGACAATCAAAAGCAGATATTCTTAGACAACTATTTCTTTCCTCTTCTCCACAGACCATTTTCATTGTGTCTACTTTTGGCATTTGTCACTCTGAGTAGATCTTGTTCTTTTTTCTACCTACAAATTTATATTCACAACCATCCCAGCTGCCTTTCTTTCTGTCTGCAGAGAGGAAAAAAATGTGTCTCTCACTTGTCCAAAGCTAAATTGTTCACAGCCTCATGGATGGTACTTCTTAATTATCTACTCTATTTACTATCATCTTTAATAGAGTCCCCCCTACTTTTTCTTTAATGCTAGGGATTGAACCCAGGACTTGCACATGCTAGGCAAGCTCTACTTTTACTACAATCTTTAATTTTCTACCTGGAGAATTTTTTTTCTCTTCCTCGGGTTATAAATATTGCTAATGTCTCAAAAACAAAAACAAAAACCCTTACATTTTCCTCTTCGATTCTTCACTTGTTCACCCTGTTACAGCCCTCTCTTATTTATTTATTTTAAAGAGAGAGTGAGAGAGAATTGTTTAATATTTATTTTTTTAGTTTTCGGTGGACATAACATCTTTTTTATTTTTATGTGGTGCCGAGGATCAAACCCAGCGCCCCACGCATGCCAGGCGAGCGCATTACCGCTTGAGCCACATCCCCAGCCCCCCTCTCTTATTTTTTATAGTTAACAGGAAGGGCTGTATTTACTGTCTTCATTTTCCTGATTCCTCCTTTTCCTTTGCTAAACCATAATATTTGACTTTTGCTTTCTACCTCCTAATAATGCCCTTAAATGCTGCTATTTATCAAATTCAGTTCTTCAATACCTTTTATTCTCTCTGAATACATACCTTCCTGGGTTCAATCACCTTATATACCTACTGATTATCCTCATATTTCTAACCACAACTTTCTTGGAAAATTCCACTTATATGAACCACAACATCTCAAAATTAGTATTTAAAGCCCAAATCATTAACTTCTCACAAAAAGCTATCTGCTTTTCCATTTAGGTTAGTGGAACCTTGACCCAACTGACAAAGAGAAATGTGGGAATCATCCCAGATTTCCTCTGCTTCCTCATCCAGCACTTTAACGGGTCATGTCTACTTCTTAAATATTCCTAAAATGTATCTCCGATTTTCTATTCTTATTTCTGCTGCTTATTTTAGGCCTGGCTTAGATTGCTTTTCTTCTGCCTTCTGAGCTTACTCTGTTTATCATTCCTCCATACTACAAACAGAAAAAGCTCTTGAAGTCTTTGTCTCTACCTTTCTACCCACCTCCTCTTCTTCCTTTTGTACTGGGGATTAAATTGGGGCCTTCCACATGCTAATAAGCCCAAGCCCTACCATTGAGCTATGCCCCCCAACTTATAAATAAAATTTGTAGCAGTTTGATTAAGAAAACTATGGTGCTGAGGGTATAGTTTAAAGGTAGAAAGCACTTGCCTAGCATGTACAAAGCTCTGGGTTAAATCTCCAGCACCATCAAACCAACCAACCAACCAATCAAAAAACAAAACAAAAAAAGCAAGAAAACTATAAAGTCATTTCAATAGTATATTATATAGAAATTAAAATAAAACATTTATAGTAAAATGAAAAAATGCATAGGTAACAAAAATACACACAAAATGTATAAAAAAATCTGGAAGGAAATACACTTAATTGTTCATATTTGCTATTTTGATATAGCTGGGTATGATGATTTAAACTTTTTTATTGCTTCCCTAGATATTCTAATAATAAAGATAATATCAGCATTTAATACATAATGCTTTTTATGTTATAGGCCCTAACTTAAGTTAAATATTTTAACTCTAATAACAAGTATATTAAGCACATATTATTACCTCTGTTTAATAGGGATATAAACTATTAAAAAACTGAAGCACAGAGAGGTTAAATAATTTGTCCAAAGTTACATAGCCAGCTGGTAGAGGAATCTCAGATATGCTAAATTAATTGTAAATGGGCATGTATTTCTTTTGTAACAATAACAAAAAATATCAGAAAGTACTTTTTAATACAACCTTCAAAGGC